TATATAATATATACCTTAACAATGTCCATTAATCTATTATAACCTTTGAAAAGATCATATATATTTCTTGCTATACTTTGACTTCCGTTAATCCAAGAATTAATCCTGAATGATATTAAAGCTTCATATACACCCATCATTTCTTTCAGATTATGTAATTTTTGTTGTGATTTTGGGGTATTATCAAGTAGATCCATTTCTTCATCCTGTAAGATTAGGAATTAATATTATTATTCATTATTCTTACTATATATCTTATTGTTTTAAATAAATAATTATTTGTAAAAACTACTTTCACACAACTGAAGTAAAAAACATACCACATTTAAATGTTCCAATTCAATTCGTGTCATCCTCACACACAGTGATTCTAGAATGATAGCAATTTTATTTAAAATTTCCCAATCCTTTGAAGCTATTTTGATATATATTGCTTGTAATACGGAAATCAATATAGCTATAGGCTCCCGTGGAATCATTTGTAGATCGTTCATATCGGCACTAAGATCAATTTTTAATGGAGGTAAAATATTTTCATCAGTTTCAAAATAAAGATTTAATTGGGCAAATAATATTTCTATTATATACTCTGATAATTCAGGATTCTTAATTACAACCTCAGATAATCCTAAAAATAACAAAAAATATATTATACGTTATTCACATAGATATATACAATATACATATTTTATATTATTCCTTATATTTTACCTTCATATAAATGTGATCTGACTTCAAATTCTTGAGTAAAACACTTTTTTAATATATTCAATATATCCACGCATAATCCTTTATTGTATCCATTATTATTGTCCATATTATTGTGTTTTTCTAATGTTACCTAAAAAGTATAATAAAATTTAATACAAAATAATTAATTTAATTTAATTAGAAATATTTAGTCATAATCTACTCTTTATATTTACCTGAGTTAACACTGATGATGAACCTGATAATACGGCAGACATAGAGGAGTTTTCAGAATAATCAGTATGAAGATTTCTTATAGAATTCATTTTTAACATTTTTAATAATTCAAGAAAACCAGTTACTGCCATTTTACGTGTAGATATTCCTTTTTTATAGAGAGCCTTTCTTAATGCTAATATAACATTATCTTTTACATTAGATGATATTTGTATTAGTGGTAAAACTGCATAAAGAATTTGTACAGCTGCAATACCAGGTACACATAGCAATTGATCAAGAAGAGTAATTATATAAGTTTGAAAATCTAGTACATTCATTGCTAGCTTATGGCACATGTATGCCAAACAATCTATATAGAAAAAATATAAATGAAAAAATAATTTCTTAATAATTATTAATTTCTTTTTTCTGTAATAACATTTTTTACCTGTGTACTGTGATATTAACAAACCACCAGCCACTATTTTGTCAGTTAATAATTGAAGTACAGATCCACATATTTCATGTCTTTTTTTTAATAATCTTTGAATTATTTGTATACCAATTTTATGTACTGTATATTTACTATTTTTTCCAGTTGAATGTTCTGTATCCATAAGC